ATTATCGAGTGGTCTATGGTGTCGAAAGCTTTCTGAAAATCGGTATAGATCACATCCACTTGACCATGGTTATCCAGTATATGACACGCATAATTTGTAAAACAAGCAAGGTTAGTTGTCGTCGACCTATGTCGCATAAAGCCGTGTTGATGTGGCGAGATATAATTTCTTACCAGCGGGTAGATGTAATCATATAAAACCATTTCATCCAATGAAATTTCTAATGTAGCAATGCGTAATGCTATTTACGAAAGCATTTAAAAAAGTTTTATATGTAGGCACTTCCGAGGGCACTTCGAATAAAAGTAAAACTTATGCCCATTTCAAAATTTGTTTGTATTTGTATGTTGTACACTAATAGACTTCGACAATAGGCGGCTCATTTGAAAGGGAAGGGTAAGGATCTCGTGCCTACCAGTATTTTTTTCCCGATCCTAGCGTTAATATTAAGAAGAGGAAAATACGCTCGCGTCATTTATAATGACTTTTTAACTTGTTTGAAGTTTCCTCGCCATTTTCGTTTAGATTAGGCAGACTGCAATGATTTTTTTCTTTTAAATGTTAACCATATAGAAGGTTCGAGTCAAGAAAAACATAGCGTACCTAGCTATGTCGTTTTGGGAAGTACCTACTGAAATTGAAAATGCGCTAAAATTACTCGCCATAGAGGGAAAACCTTACTTGTTTCTAAACTAGCACTTTAAGCCGGTCAAACTTCCTTTTGTATTAGGTCTACACACCTCTACTACCATTCTATTTATTTTTATAAGAAACTACGTTTTTACTAAGTAATGATTTATTTTCAATGAAACATTTTTCACTAGTAGGAGGGGGTGCCACCCCTTGACGTAAAGTGGGATGCAGCAAAATGCACTCTGCCTCGATGTGCAGAAATGATATGCACTGTGTCCAAGATAAGGATGTCCCTATCGTGGGGATCCCGGAAACCATCGTAGAACATACGACGATGTTTTAATTAGGAAAAAGTTGTGCAATTAAACAGTTATCATGCCCTGAAGAAAATCAAAAAATTCCGAATAGTTCCGGAAAAACGAAATTTACCTACTGATTTTGTTTTTATTTTTTTCTG